TAGGGGGCTAGAGAGGGAGTGGGTGGCTAATGAAGGGGTGGGTGGCTAGTAAAAGCTTGGGTGGGCTAGTAAAAGAAGGGGTGGCTAGTGAAAGAAGGGGTGGCTAGAGAGGGAGTGGGTGGCTACTGAAAGGGTGGGTGGCTAGCAAAAGAGTGGGTGGCTAGTGATGCAGAGTGTGGCTAGTGAAAGAGTGGGTGGCTAGAGAGGGATTGGGTGGCTTGTAAAAGAAGGGGTGGCTAGTGAAAGCTTGGGTGGGCTAGTAAAAGAAGGGGTGGCTAGTGAGGGAGAGTGTGGCTAGTGATGGAGGAGGTGGCTACTGAGAGGCTGGGAGGGCTCATTGTGGGGCTAGAGAGGGATTGGGTGGCTAGTAAAGAGGTGGGTGGCTAGTGAAAGAAGGGGTGGCTAGTGAAAGAAGGGGTGGCTAGAGAGGGAGTGGGTGGCTACTGAAAGGGTGGGTGGCTAGCAAAAGAGTGGGTGGCTAGTGATGCAGAGTGTGGCTAGTGAAAGAGTGGGTGGCTAGAGAGGGATTGGGTGGCTTGTAAAAGAAGGGGTGGCTAGTGAAAGCTTGGGTGGGCTAGTAAAAGAAGGGGTGGCTAGTGAGGGAGAGTGTGGCTAGTGATGGAGGAGGTGGCTACTGAGAGGCTGGGAGGGCTCATTGTGGGGCTAGAAAGGGATTGGGTGGCTAGTAAAGAGGTGGGTGGCTAGTAAAGAGGTGGGTGGCTAGTAAAAGAAGGGGTGGCTAGAGAGGGAGTGGGTGGGCTCCTTGGGTGGCTGGAGAGGGATTGGGTGGCTACTGAAAGAGTGGGTGGCTAGTGAGGGAGGGGGTGACTAATGAAAGGGTGGGTGGCTAGCAGAAGAGTGGGTGGCTAGTGAAAGAGTGGGTGGCTCATTGGGTGGCTAGTGAAGGAGTGGGTGCCTTGTTGGGTGGCTAGTGAGAGAAGGAGTGGCTAGTAAAGGAGGAGGTGGCTAGTGAAGGAAGGGGTGGCTAGAGAGGGAGTGGGTGGCTAGTGAGGGAGGGGGTGGCTAGTGAGGGAGGGGGTGGCTCATTAGGTGGCTAGTGAAAGCTTGGGTGGGCTAGTGAAAGGGTGGGTGGCTAGTGAGAGTGGGTGGCTAGTGAGGGAAGGGGAGAGCTCCTTGGGTGGCTAGTGAAGGGGAGGGGGTGGCTAGTGAGGGGCTGGGAGGGCTCCTTAGAGAGCAATGGGGCTACTGAGGGGGCTAGAAATGGATTGGGTGGCTAGGGAAGGGATGGGTTGCTAGGGAAAGAAGGGGTGGCTAGTGAGGGAGAGTGTGGCTAGTGAAGGAGAGTGTGGCTAGTGAAGGAATGGGTGGCTAGTGAAAGAGTGGGAGGCTAGGGAGGGGATGGG